TTAGTGAGACGGAGGTGTGCTGGCGCCTCGCATCTCTCATGCACGGAAGAGAAGTCTAGACGGGAAAAAGAAGTGTGAGAGAGGGAAAGAAGGATCACGCTTCGTACAGTATGCTGTCCATTTCAGGACACAACTGCCTAATCCTACCGGTTCACCTGGAAAAGCTATGTAGGTGTCATGAGGTTATGCCATCGCACCATTGACTCTGAAGAAAAAGCAGCTCGTGATCGTATACGAGGAAGGAGGCATGCAGGAGAAACGCGGCCGATCGCTGCATGATTCTTCGACATGGCCTCAGTCAAATCATTCTTGGTCTGAGGATGATAAACACATTCGCGCATGATTCGGCAGAGCCATTCTTCATAGTCGTCTCGAAGGATCTGTGTAAAGAACTCAACATGTATTAACCTCGTTCTGAAGATCTCTGCCCAGGCGTGGAACTAATTCCGCATCACGATTAGGTCCTTTTCCCAAGAACCATCCATCACCAGTGATGCAAAATATATTTAAAGTCCCTTTGTTCCTTGGGGAGACTGTGGGGAGGAAATAGTGGAAGCCCTTGTGTCTATTAATTTGTACGTATTTTGACCCTTTGAGCTCTTCCCTCGTTGCGTAAGAAAATTTGGATTCCTTATAAAGTTTGATGACCCTGTTTCATTAATCTTAGGCGTGTGAATTTTTTGTTTCCTGTCTCCATTTTAATGCCCACAAAATTAACAACCGTGCCGGGAGACATTTATCCGCAACCATGTTTTCATATGAATGCCTTCAGGAGAGAGAAGACAGGTTAAGGGTGACCGGCGACGTGGCGAGAGGACTCGCAGGAGGGGAAATTGAAAGCGAAGCATTCGAAGAAAAAAGAGGCGTCATAGATACAATTGAAAAAAAAATCAGTAGCAACAGGCGCCAGTTGAAGTCGCGTCGGTCTTCTTCTACCCCTTCCACTCACAGAAACACATACAATCATGAGCACGCACAAGTGTGTGCGAGGCGGGAGGGAGGTCAATGAGGGAAGAGTTGTGTGGGAGCATTCATGTTTTCAGGAAAATCGGCAATTAAAGCCCAGAGTTTTCTACCCCTTCAGAGACAGTAAACAATCTTGGTGTCAATGGTTCCGTGAAATATCCCTCCATGGGATAGGCACATAAAAACCTGCCGGTCAAACGAGAAAATTGACCCGGAATGGGAGAAATGGTCTAAATTTTCAAAAGAGGCCGCAGGAAAAATCGATAGGCTTCTAGGATAGTGCACGGATTCTCATGAAAATTAATATTAAGCTGGCTAAAAGACTTTTAGAGATTTCTACATGAGGAATTATTGAAATTCAGCCTGGTTTTCGAGTAATGCCCGTCAACCTCGCGTCCCTTCAGAAAAAGCGGTCCTTTCACGTGGATCATCGAACTTTGAGTGGAAATGGTCGGAAAAAAAACTATGAGCAATTCTACAGAAAGATGGACCAGAATCACCTCAAAAAACTGGAGCATGCTTTTGTCGATAAAAAATTTCTACAAGGCATGAGAGTGAAAAAACAATCTGGGAAAGGAAAAATTCTCCGTTTTGGCGTCATGGCTTCTCGAGAACTACTGTTACATTCATGTATTTATGATTTTCATTTAGCGCTGCATGTCCCTAGGAGACTGATGCAAATGGGACATTTCTGCGACCAAGGATTGGAGAGATGCAGCTTTTCAAAGATAAGCATGCAAATCATGATGTTTCACCTCATATCATAGCCCCTGGCATGACCTGAGGGAGCCAGCAATCGGCTCCAAGGCCCTTTCTCGAGTCCCCCTGCAACAATTATAGAGCGAAATTTCGATTCAGGGGGGTCCATTTTCATGTTCCCGTAGTACCTTAACCCCAATGAACACACCAGGTACTGGACAATTTCCTGCTGTCATACGTCAGAATTTGTTATTGATGGAAATGGAAAAAAATGTTTTCCCTGAAAACAGGCCCAGATCTGATTGCTCGCATGCGTGACCAAATGATTAAATGATCAGATACACTCCTGGAAACATCACCGATCCTGATCCATTAATCTAAAACGGATTTTTTGCACTTCGGCTGACATTTGATACGTTCATGATATGCAAAAATCCAAACCTCTTTGTCGACAGAATCAATAAAATAAATCTACTGTTGTACTGCACGCATTTATCCATCGACAGATCTTTATTAATTACACAAATTACACAGAGCACTTTCTTGGTGAACGATAGGATGGCTTTCCCGTTTAACCCCTTGAACACACATGGTATTGGACAATTTCCTGCTGCCATACGCCACTCACCATGTCCCAAAATGTGTACGATGCGTCAACGTTTGGAAAACGTCGCATTCCGATATTCTGCCACGTTCTTCGGACGACATAATGCCTGTCATTGTCCTTCATGAATTGCATTTCCATGATGTCCTATGTCTAAGCCAGAAGAGAAGTTGTTCTGCCACTGACTGAACTGATAGCAGTCCATGTGAGAGGAAGAGCCACCTCATTCGGTTCCGAGTTTTGTCCGCGGTGTCACTCCTTAACATCCACGTCATCGAATAAGGAAAGGGTGAACCAGTTCGCGACCATTTCAACACTACTTATTAAATCATTTTCGGATGAATCAGTACTTTCTCTCAAAACGTTTCTCATCGGGATTACGAGCTTGTTTATGGCCTGCGCTTCATGAATCTGAGTAGAATATGTGAATAACGAATGATGAAGTGTCTGCATTTATGATTCCTACAATGAAAGTAGGCAAAATGTATAACTAGGTACTAAATTATCCTGGGAGAGATGATTCCAGGGAAAGAGGGAAGTGAACTTTTGCGCATTGTGCGAGACGAATACTTCCATCTAGTGATGTGACGGATAATTGGCGGACCCACGTGGTGGCAATTACATCATTCCCCAGCATTTATGTTCCCCCGACCTTTCGCTCCTTTTCCCAACGTTGGTCCATCAAAACATGTCATCTGAGGCGTTTAACAATATCCATGAGAATGATCAATAGCCAATAGCCTTTCTGTTTTCCAAAATGCACTTTGGATTCAAGAAATCACGGACGTCAAATGACGTTGGTGTGACGTCGACGCATCTTCCGGGACGATGCAACCAGAATGCAACGTCAGTTTCGCAACGTTTTGTGTTCCATGGGAAGGTTTTCAAGGTAAGGTGTCAAGGAATTGATGAAATATGCTATTCTGAGGCAAATAAATAAAATTTAGTTCCATTAGAGATTGAATTTCGAAAACCAGTCCCTTAGCCGAAATATTTCAGGAAGAAGATGAAAAAAAAAATCCGTAAAGAAAATGGAGTTTCCGAGGGAAAGCGTTCAGAGAAGGTAAGGACTTTTGGTATGAATTTTTTTAGTGTTACAGCGGATGAACTCGTTGTTGTCCAAATAAACCTTTCACTGCAGGTAAATTTGCGACCTTGAATAATGGACTAAGGATAAGCAGATGCTTCTTGTTGGTGCAAATGACACGGTAATACGGATGACTCATTCGCGACTGTGCTCATTTTCGTGACGCCAGAGGAGGTATTCCTCTTCTGTTGCCTCAATTTCGCTTCCCCAGAGATGAAGACCATCGAACCGAGCAACTTCAGTCCGTATTCGAGTGGGCCTTCCTCATCAGCACCGAACGGAGATCGAATCCACTATAATGGGAAACATGAAGAGAAGCCTCAGAGGAACAGGATGATGGGAGAGCCCGAACTCCCCATGGAAAGGATGAATAAGACAGGAAGAAAGACGCGATCAACAAAACTTTGTCCGAACCGGATGGATGATATGCTCACCAACGGGGAGAAGAGTGCTCAAGGACACCGGAACCTCGTCTACACTTTCCTCTGATACGCACGCATGTCCTGCGACTCCTGAGAGACAGAGTGCTGTATAGTGATACCATCGTGGTTCGGCATGTCATACAGGATACATAAATTCTTGAATCTGTTTAGGTTATGTTGATTGACATTGTACATGTGTTGCTGCTTGTGATGGGTACGTACACGTACAATTTTGATTCTTCACCTAAGTTCCTGGAGTATCTTATTACGTTCTATTCGAGCTAAATTCAAAAGTTTCATGCCTGTTAATTTCAAACTGCGAATGCAATGCTAATTGCCTCGCAACAGCGGCTGCTTCACATTGTTAACCAGATTCCCAAGCTTATTTCAACCGAAAAGGGTACAGTTTGCAGTTAATTTGCTTCCATACCATTAATTTTCTTCTTAGAGTCAAGAGTCAAGAGTCAAGAGAGTTAGTGATATCAAGAGGCGATTTCGCCCTTTTTTACTATCCTAGTTGCTTACTGTCTAGTACCTACGTCAACATTGCCCCCAACTTTTTGCCTGTCCATGAAAGCATCTAGTTCTTCGTCCACATCAGAGGTGTTTCTCACAGAGGGAATGAAAGAATGCTGAAATATATATTCATTAAGCGAAAACTATGGAATACATCTCCCCGAGCATTGCAAAGGAATCTCTCGCCTTCAATACGAAAGTTTTCTTCCTCGGAAATTCCTTATCTTCCATAGGAAAAGAAATTCGCGAGGAAACCACAGAAGTGAGATTTCCGATGCAAATGTGGTAAATTTCGGGCGGTATTTCTTTAAACTGCTGATATTACGTCCATCTGTCCGATGAAACAGAAAAGAAAATGTGCTTGTTTTTCAAATAAAATTCAGAAAATTATCATAATAAAGCTATTAATGATCTTGCTTTTCAGGGAAAGGCGCTGCAAATAATTAAATAACACATTTCAAGCGCTCCTCATAGAGTTCCACTTTGATAATTTGAAAAAAGATCTCTCAATTTGGGCTTGAATTTACAATGGGAGCTCGTAGAGGCAATTGCAGGGAGCTTGAAGAAGAAGCTATTGCTTGAAGCTACAATTAAAATATTTGCACACATGATGCGAAAAGACGCGAAGCCTTCCCACATGCAGTCCTGCATTGAACTTGCCTGATTAAAGATTCCCAAGTAGCCATGGGTAATCCAAAACTCGTCCATGGACAGTCCAGTTGCGCAGAGAAATTCCAAGGACATTTTCCTATGGTCTTCCATTGGATCTCCTTGGATGGAATCCCCACCCCGTTGAGGCCTTCCATCTGGCCTGACACCTAGTAGTTCATTAAATAATTATAAGGTTCCCATAATATAAGTGAGGTCGCGCTCATCCCGCCGCTGTATGTCTCCCGATTCCCTAAATGATTACGAATTGTTCTGCGGAAGCTTTCACCCTCTACTTGATAATTTCCCGGGGTTCTAGGGAAGGAAGTAATTCTAATCATTTCATATGTTGAAAGACGTAACATAATTGAAGGAGACTCCTGGCAATTCTTGCACATTGCATGGAGAGTGTGGTTCCCCTTGTCAAGTAAGTCAGCTACGTCGGCTTTGGCAATAGGGAATTCAATGGATGTCTCCTGATTTTTGTATCTGACTTTCCTTTCCACCTGTTACATATTTGGAATGGGCTTATGTTTATTGCTGTGATCCAGCTGGAAATGATTGCTCTTTCCAAATTGGATTTTAAGCTGGAAAACTATTCCTTTATTCTCAAATTGTTTTCCAATGGAGTTAAGCTATTCTTTTAGTACCAGCTATAAACAAACTACCTGCTCTTCAACAAACGAGCATTCCTTTGATGGCATGGACCTAAAATGCACAGTTGTTTGATAGGCCTTGTGAAATCACAGTGAAAAACTCCCCAACCATTTCTTATTCAAGGTGTTCTTTTGCTAATTAGGCAGGAAATGAATTGCTGTACTGGCGATGCAACAAAAATATCATTTCATGTACTACCTGTAGCTGGAAGGATTTGATCACTTAATTCCATTAATTAGAATTACTTCTTATTCGAATCAGATGGTCATTTAAAATTTCTAAACCACCATATTTTTATTTTTTTTGCTTTTCGCTGCACAAGTACTTGATGAGTGTGCTAAGAAGAAAACGCTTTTACAAATGCTTGTACATCAAGCTTGAAACCCCCCTTATTAAGCTGAGAGGCAATGATATTCTTCAATCATTCTTCGTTGGTTTCCAGATTTTATACCCTTGCTTTCCATTTGCATAAAACGTAGCTAATGATTAGCGATCAATAGTTCATTCTTATTATTAAACATTGCTTTGGAGAAAAAATAGAGGAGGAATTAATGCATTGTTTCATTAGCAGTGGCTGATATTGTATATAGTTTCTTATGTCTTTCTTACTGTCCTTTCAGAGGTTTGGTCAGGAAGTCTACCCATGACATAAACATCAGCACTTAATCTCTAACAGAGAAAGATGTTATGGCATAGACGTCACCATAGGGGGAATTATTCCTTGCCACTTATGTACTTGGCCTGGAAGATTCTTTTTGATGAAGTTCAAGGCCTACCTGCTGATGCTTCTGCCGACAAAAGTGAGTCAGGGTAATACCATTGACGCTCAGTTTCTTCATAAAAACCAGGTTGTGCTGGTGAGAAACAACTGAACTATTTCTTGTTTTGTAACGTGCTACTTTATTTGGTAGGATATTCCATAGGCTAAAAAAAAAATTTGGGGGCAAATACAAGTAACCCGGTGATTTCATGATCTCATAGCTGCCAGTCCACCGATGAAGGTTCGTGTGAATTGCCAGTCTGATCAACATGGCAGTTACCTTCATATCTCCTGGGATCCCCCAACACAATCAAATGGACTTATGTTCCAGGCAGAATACAAAGTCTGTCAAACATTCCATTTAAACTCCTAGTTAATGGCATGTATTTTAGATATAGCCTGTATATTTTTCATCAATATCAATGTGCAACTTCACAATCTCCATTCCTGAAATAATTGTATCATGTGTTTCCATGGAAAATAGCATGCAATTAAATTTTTATGTTCTGTATTCAGGTGTTCGTCGAAGAAAAATCAGTTTTTCTGAATGAACTTGGTGCGTGGGAGGAGACCAAAGATACAAATGTCCTGTCTGCCTATAACCGTTCATCACTCACAATTCAAGGCATTCCAAATTCTAATTATACCATTCAGGTATGGTCATGCTACATATTTTTATTTGAGATGTCCCTGTTTTAAGTAATATTGGTTACTTATTAACATTTGAAATAACAGTATCAGCAAATATCATTAGCAGTGGATAATGCTCTCACTGGTGTTTGGCATACGAAAATGAAGACTGTGAATGTAGCTCGAATGCATAAATTTCAATGTGTTTTTAATTGATTGTAAGGCATCAGAGCTGAGAGCTTTTTTTTTAAATCATTAACTTTGTGCTTTCGACAAATTTTCCTAATTTAGTTTATACTTTTCACCTCCTCTGACAGACTTGATATTGACATGTGCATTTGTTTGAAATTTTGAGACTCTGATAGCAGCGTATCAGTTTTCAATATTGTGATGATGGATTTTTAAAATCATTTTTCAGTTTTGGGGAACAAGCTTTTTCATTTGTTCTCTGTGATCAGGTTTGTGTCATGTCACGAGACGGGCAGTGTGGAACGAAGAGCCGACTCACACAGGTATCTGATTGTTACATGGGGCCCAATCTTCCCGAGCAACTTCCTCGCTTCACCTGGAGGAAGCTGAAATCCTCTGAGAAGAACCAGATATTCAAAGTATTGCTTGTCAGGGCATCTGAGCGCTATGGCCCCATCTGCTGTTATAGGTTTGCATGCTCTTCCTCTTTTACCCTCTTTTCAAAAATGTCTGCCTAGAAGGTTCATCAGGAAAAACAAAGGCTTGGATTTATGCACTTACTTTCTCTGATGCTTTAATGCGATGAAATCGAATGTCAGAGAACGAACAAGGATATTGAATTATAGGGTGGTGATTGTGCGATATGGAGATCTGCAGGGAAGAGAGTTGCCATATCCACAGGAAATATCAGTTTCCACATATCGAGAGGCTCATAACCACCGAGGACAGCACCTGACTGGATATATTGCAGAAATGATTGATAGGTGAGTGGAAACAAGTCATAATGGCATCTGCTGTGCTGTCATGTGAACAAAATCAAATCCTCTTTTTCCCAGCAATCGTTTCCAAGATGAGGTCATAGTTGGGGATGGATCTCTATCTGTACCACCACCTCAATGTTCTGCATGCTACTCACAATCATATGCAAATTTCGATGAAGCGGGATTTTCACGAAATCGCCGCTACACACTCACTTCTTTCCCCATTGTTGAAGATGGTCCACTGGAGTCCAATAGCACTTATAGTGGGTTCATAGAAGTCATTGGTATGTTGTCAAAAAAATTCTCCCAAGTTGTTTATTATTATTTTTGAGATCATAAAGTGTGGGTATTTGGTGTTGTCAGTGAAAACACTGACTGGAGATGTAGTGAGAAAACCAAGTGGATACTTCACCCTACTTGGATCAAGTGATCAAGAATCAGGTGAGAATCAGGAATGCTGGTGAGAAACAACTGAACTCTTTCTTGCTTTGCATCGTGCTACCTAATTTGGTGGGATGATCTTATAATGCTTCAGTTGCCAGTTTGTATGTAATGCACACTACAGGCATTTTCTTCTCGGAACGAGTCGTGACGGTTCGAAGAACTCTAGATGGCCGTAGGTTAGACCTAGGCCAAACGTCAGTGACTTCCGTACAGATTGGGGGAAGGTGGGGAGGGGGAGGGGAGGTGATGGTGGAGTTAAAGTTGGTGTTGGGGTTGGTGGTTAAAGAACGGTCAAATAATTGAAAATTGGGATCAACATTGCTACATTTAAATATCATTGATGGTCCTAAATTTCAGATAAATAAGAGGTCAATAGATCGTTCCCATGAACTTTCATGGAACGCTGGCGAAACCATAAATGAATCGTTCATTGAACACGTTCGTTTGGTACTTGAGTAGTCGTCTCTGAAGATCATGGTGATTCCTTCCACGACCAAAGAACAATTATTTACCTCCGATTTGCAGCAGTCTTACATGCTACTATTCTAGATAAATCAAGCGTATCAGAAAATGAGAAAAAAACCGGCGGGATATCCAGAGAATCAACGATTTCGGCCGTCTCTGCTGCAGCGATTTCGGTCGTGGCTCTGACAGTGGGCTCTATTTCCTACTATCGTTTCAGAAAGGAGAAAGTGAGGCACGCACCAGGATTCGACAAATATTTACCTATTCAATCGTATCCAATTCTTTTTCGTGAACTTTGCAGGCCAGAAACATCGCATTATCCAAGGAAGAGACAGAGCGATTCTTGAGAGGACAACCAGAGAGCTTGAATCCAACGATGGGACTCGGTCAACAAGCACATCTACTGCCATTCGACGAAAATTGGAACTTTCCATCTGCGAAACTGAAACTCGGTAAGGTCCCAGACCCCAAATCTGGCGAATTTGTTTTGAAGGAAGATTACATCGCAATAGGAGAAGTCATCGGCTGTGGGCAATTCGGTTACGTGCTGAAGGCTGTGGCTGTTGGGATCTGTCCTCCGGAGCCCGAAAGCAAGAATGAATTTTGGATTATTGAAGTCATAGGCCTCAAGCCCTTACCCATGAGGCCAGCAAACCAGATTAATTACATCTCTAGTTAAAGAGTTATTAAGATTCCAAAACGGATACAGGACTTAACAAGAACGACAAGAGAAAGACCTTAAGCCTAAGGAAGAGAAAAGGATTACAATTAGATGGGCTGAATAGTTCGTTATGATGATTTAGGAGTCCCCTGCAGGAATTTCAAAAGGAAAAACGGAGCACCCGAGAGAGCAGGCTACAGTCCCATATTCGTATATATACAGCCTCATATACATTTTAAGTTTTAGGTAAGTAAGTTTAAGGAATATTGCCCAAATAAAATAGTTCTTAAAGTGTCCCACAGAGGCATAACCTCAAGCCTGACTGGTTACGTCAGCTCACTATCTTTCTATTAACATTAGGTGGACAAGATTTTCGCCAAAAATGCATCGTCTCCCTTGATAATCATAGAAATAGAAATATATCCCAACCAAGGCCAATAATGCCTTGGTTGATGAAAAGTAGACAGTTTCTAAGCGTCTGCGTCATGCACGCCAGGTTTTTCAGCCCATGGCCATTCATTTCTTTGGATATACTGCAGAAAGACATGAATAGAGGAGGCGGTTCGGGCCTAAGTGAGCTTGCACAGCAGAGAATTTATTGCCAAATTGACAAACCCGGGCCAAGCTAAGAAGTATTAAGTCTGCAAGTTGGGATACCATTGTTAACGAAATCGCGCAGAGAGGCAGAGAGCGGCAAACTCTTCACGGGTCAAAAGATGGCTGCTGTAAGCTGGTGTAGGCATGCGTCCGCGTTCGCGCACTTTCGCGCGCCTCCACGCTCTCGCTCTCACGCGTCTTCACCCACCTTGCCTGTGAGGGCCGAAATCGAGGAGGGTTTGTATATATGCTTCCCGGAATGAGCATCGTACTGGCGAACGAGTTACCTCAGATCTCAATATGATTACCTTCAACATATTTTCTCGGGTCTAAAAATGCACTTCACTTAACGTTAGTATAGATTCCAGAACCCCGACTGAATCCTTTTTTTTGGGAAACTTCGTTTAGCGCTTTGGTCGCGGTTACTTGTGGGTTATTCCATACGAACTCAACCAGTGTTAGTGTAATATGCCACCCGACCACTTCAGATTTCGGGATGAAAATTCTCAGCGATAGATTTGGTTAGCTGTTGGTGAGTTATCGCCCTCCCCCCCCCCCCCAACTTTAGAAAGAAACTTAAAAAAACTACGGACGGAATAAATTAATCTCAGGAAACGTTCATCGCATGGAGGCGTGCAACAGATTCCCAAGCAGCATGATCACATTAACATGATTTTAAATTTTTTTTTACAAACGATATATCTAGTTCTGCCATAAATACTGTTGCAAGATTTACATGTTCCTTGCATTCTAGCGAAAGAAGCTAGAAACTTGTAACCCAGTAATCGTGCAGTGTATTATCTGCCGTATTACATGGTAACATTTTGGCTGTTGTGTCGCGTGCAGTAAACATGGAGTGGGGTGACAAAGAGAATCGCATAGCAGTGATTGCCCTGCACAAAGTGGGTCAGAAACCTGCAATCATTTCAATTCTTTGCAGCCACTTGGAATCAGTCGGTAGTTTCTTTACCGAGCTATCAAACGAGCTATGATACTCAGGGAGTACGAGACCGTCCTAGATTTGGAAGTCCCCCTGCCGGAAAAACACGAGTCATCAAAGAAGTTAGCAACAGGATTCAGCGAAATCCTCTACGCAATCTCTAAGCCTTCGCCTTCCCGAACCCGTCTAATGGGCAACGGAGTTGCATATGCTTCCCCATGCTCTTGTGTCTCCTCAGTGGGAAGATTATGAATTAAGTCACTCTTTTTACAGGCAAAGTAGAACTATCAAGAACTACTGCGACTGTCTACTATTACTGTCTTGGCCAACTGGAGTATAGGTTTGTTATGTCTGTCCAGTTGTTAATGCTGCATTGCATGCAAAAATAAGGTTTCTGCCACCAATATTTAAATTAAAAAAACGTTCAGTTCAGAGTTATGTCAATAACGGAATTTAGTTAACGTAGCTATTTGAGTGCGAGCCAAAACATGATTTTCACCATTAAAGACCAGATATTCCATGGAAAAATAACATGAGTGGCTTTGATGGGAAGATGAAGTTATGTGAATAACGTTTTTTGCCTAGCAAGAAAATGGTTCAAATCCTCCAGACAATAGCGACAAACGATGGAGCTTTTCAAAACGAAATAGTGTAAGACGTGATAATGTATATGTTCGAACACACCCAATATTTAATCATTTTCTACCATTGCAACAATAGCATTTAATTCGAACCACACCTAATCACGAAACTTTCTTATCTCATACGAATGCATCTTCAGATTCTTCGCTGTAAGAGGCTTGACCACAGCCATACTCGATCATTCTCGTTATAGCATGAAAGATGAATCTTTCACCTATCAGAAAACATAACATCACTGGATTTTATGAACTTCATATTTTATGGTTTTAATTTCCAAGACTGCATCAATATAAGTATTGGAACAGAAGAAGGCATGGTAAAATTTATGGCTTCCTTTGGCTGCCTTAAAATATAATGCTCTCTCGAACTTGCGTGCCACTGACCGACTCTACACGATATGACGAAGGTACTCACCATGTGCCAAACCTTTGGTACATGCTCCAAGGAAATTGACGACATTCAAGTGCATTCCGAGGTGACTCATGATCTTCACCTCCATCAAATGCGTCTGATAATTCTCCAGAGTGGAGTGGGGCTTTCTTCTCTTCACGGCTACTGTCGTTTCGGGCTCCGGAGGACAGATCCCAACAGCCACAGCCTTCAGCACGTAACCGAATTGCCCACAACCGATGACTTCTCCTATTGCGATGGAATCTACCTTCAAAACAAATTCGCCAGATTTGGGGTCTGGGACCTTACCGAGTTTCAGTTTCGCAGGTGGAAAGTTCCAGTTTTCGTCGAATGGTAATAGATGTGCTTGTTTCCCGAGTCCCATCGTTGGATTCAAGCTCTCCGGTTGTCCTCTCAAGAATCGCTCTGTCTCTTCCTTGGATAATGCGATGTTTCTGGCCTGCAAAGTTCACGAAAAATAATTGGATACGATTGAAGAAAGAGGCGGTTGTCGAATCATGGTGCGTGACTCACTTTCTCCTTTCTGAAACGATAGTAGGAAATAGAGCCCACTGTCAGAGCCACGACCGAAATCGCTGCAGCAGAGACGACCGAAATCGTCGATTCTTTGGATATCCCGCCGGTTTTTTTCTCATCTTCTCCTGATCCGCTTGATTTACCTAGAATAGTAGCATGTAAACCTGCTGCAAACCGGAGGAAAATAAGTGTTCTTTGGTCGTGGAAGGAATCACCATGCTCTTCAGAGACTACTACTGAAGTACCAAACGAACGTGTTCAATGAACGATTCATGTATGGTTTCGCCAGCGTTCCATGAAAGTTAATGGGAACGATCTATTGACCTCTTATTTATCTGGAATTTAGGACCATCAACGATAATTAAATGTAGCAATGTTGAAACCAATTTTCAATTATTTGACCTTTCTTCAACCACCAACCCCAACCCCAACCTTAACACCACCATCACCTCCCCTCCCCCCTCCCCACCTTCCCTCCATCTGTACGGAACTCACTGACGTTTGAGCTAGGCCTAACCGACGGCCCATCCAGAGTTCTTCGAACCGTCCCGACTCGTTCCGAGAAGAAAATCCCTTTAGGGTGGATGACATACAAGCTGGCCACCATCATGGATATTTAGGGATGTCCGGATGAGATATCACTATATTCCAACAAATTTGATCATCTAATGACCACCGTTTCAGTCTCAGCTCATCCGAGAGCATCAGATGGAAGGGAAGTACATTGTTCAAATAAAATTTTCATGTAAGGCATGCCGAGTAGTTCCTCCCCATGGTGACGCTAGAGGGCCTCGATAACAAGTTTTGCGGATTTTGTTCAGAGTTTCACGGCCACATGCCTTATTGTATGGAGACAATCTTTAGAGGGGAAGTAACTGAAAGACTTTGCTGTGTTTCGTTTGTCTTAGATTTTCAATACCTCTTTTATGAAGCGACATACACTTAAAAATCCATAAAATTTAAATGGGAGCGAAAGCAATTATTCACTTCCATTCCTAGAATAGCGCATTTAATAAATAAAAAATTTCAAACAAAACACAGCCCAATCTTTCCAGATTAATTTGCTATCAAGAAACTTGAAATACAATAACTGGTGTGGTTGTGAAACACCGCCCCGTGAAGCAACTTATTCTGCCATAGACTTAACATGGTACGACGTTTTGTCCTGCCTCTTGCCTTACGCCAGCGGTTCCCAGACTTATTTACATCGCGACCCACTTACTGACGTACAAAAAATTCCCGAATCCTCGTAATCCAGAATGAGGTATTTTGAAAGTAATTCTGACATGAAGAAAAATTGTCGCCATTTTCAGCAGGGCCTTTTTTTAATCCTGAGTATATGCAGATATAGTGATTTTTTATCCTAGGAAAATGTACGCGACCCACCTTGATGCTACTCGCAACCGATAGTTTGGGAACAGCAACCTTACGCGTCACCTATAACTGCTTTTTTTGCGTGGACGGTTAGAGGCTACGAGATCAGCGCACCTCACTCGCCTCGCACGACCAGGGAGGTGGAATATTGCCAAGAAAAATTGCCAAAAAAATGGGGGGGGGGGGAAGGAAAAGCGAGAGTCCCATAAGCGTAATCCCGTTCTCTTCCCACTATGCTCATTTTCCAGCAGTGGCGTGCCAAGAGTTTTGCAAAATGGGACGTCCTCAGCCCAATGGCCGCTCACCCTCGCTTTCATCTCGGTCGCACAGTGGCGTAACCAAGGGATTACTTTTGGGGTCTAAGGGGGTTCCACGTTCCTTTCTCTATCAAGAAGGAGGAAGGAGTGCTGAGCTTCTAGGGTAAAAGGAGGTAAAAGGCAAAGGAGTGAGGGGGAAGCACGCGATGGGCCCACGCGTCCATCGGTCCCCAAGCCGCTGCCTATAACGACAGAACCTATGAATTTATCCTTCCCTTTAATTGATCTCCATGACAGCTTTCGCAAGAGATTGCACAGTAGAAAATAATCATGATCAACCTCCTCCCCCTTCCCTTTAATTTGCCACTGCATTCCTGTCATGTTCCTGTTTCGACGGCCTTCCTCCCTCTCTCTCCCCCTCTTTCTCTACACTCTCCAGTGACGCCACGATAAAAGAAGAATAACTTTTTAGCTCCTTTGCTCATTCTCGCCCGGTTTCATTCCACCATCGAAATACCCTAGTGTAAAAAAATAAACATACAGCCGTTTAACTTCGCACGAACTTGGACATATTGTGGACTCTCCATAACCCACCCATCCCATATGACAGGTGGAGCAGCTGTCCCACTTCCATCTGGATACGCCACTCATTCCCCAACATAGCGTTCTAGCACAACTCTCTGGTTTGGATCTACGATGGGAATCGCTCCAATATACAGTATATGCCGCAGGCATCCTTATACATTTTTTTTCCAGAATTCCCTTCATTCAATCGCAGAGTTTTTGTAAGCCTTTGGTGTGTGTCGACAGGAAGATCGTTAGCGGGAAGAAATGGGCCGCCGCCGAATTCCGGAGTTCCGGGCCAAATTTTCGGTGTCTAACAATGTCAAGTGGTAATCTCATGACCTCTCAATATCCCATATCGGAGCTTGGCTGCAGGGAGCTCGTGCACGTGCGTCTGTCTGCCCCTCTCTTTTTCCTAACCTCCTTCCTTTGCACCGAAAATTTTCCCTATACTTGATGGATTTTTGACTTCGTAAAAAATCCATCGAGACGGTGTCAACCTGTCAACCGTAACCTTAAGAGGTCCGGTCGAATGTCCGGTTGCCCTTTGCTTATCGAAGAAAAAAGCCTTGGAATTATCAGTGGCATTAACCGCAAACCACTCCTCGACATTTCGTTTCCCGTATCAAATCTCCTGCTTCAATGACCTAGTGGGAGCCTCGTATATCTCGAACACCGCCAGATTCTCCTGCGCCAATGAGTCCCATTTTTCTGTTTCTTGCTTTTGATTAACGATTTAACTTCACTTGCAAACCTTTCACGGTAATCTTTTCTATTCCTCAGGGATACAAGGCTTCATGGAGTTTAAGAATAATCGTCTTAAATGCCTTCCGTTGCTGCTCGATCGTCATACATAGCAATCTTGCTTACCGATCGAGACACGAAACGCATTCCCGTAGCAGAATGAAATCCGTTTTTCTGCGATCGTACTTTTCTTTTCGTCGGCCTATCGTCACGTCCCTTCGTGTCATTCCCTAGGTAACAACGCAATTATACGATTTCCTTAACTTGGACTTGAAGATCGAGCGCCAAATCTTCATCCGTTGCGAAAACTAACTCGATCAATGGACAATGCCTAGTCGGTCCTTTTACGAACTGAACAAGGAGAGACACCTGAACCACATCTAGAAAGTCCATTTCCCTTTCGCTCCCTCACTGCGAAATTGACCAATATATATACAGCATATTGAAATCTCCGAAGAACAAAACCCTTTTGAACCTCTCGCTATTCACCGCGTAAAACGCGGCATCATCCTTTCCTAGAGGATTTGGCGGCTTAAAGCAGATTCCTTACAAGCTCCTCCCTTTTACGCCACCAATTTCGCTCAAAAAGTTATTCGATTGATCTGAAATTAATGGAGCTAAGGTCCATCCTAAAAGACGCCTAACTCGTTCGTTGCATGCAATACGACTCCTTCACCCTTTCTTCCGTGCCTATCTTTACGCAGCAAGTTGAATACCTGGATTTTGCATTCTTCGTCCTCGGTGTCAGAGGTCCCACAAGTCGCTGTTATTCAGGAAACTTAAGTTCATGTCACCTTGCCCGCCACATAGCTGAAAATGTCGACAGGGAGCGCTGTGGTCACATATGTAAATATTTTAAATGGAGAATAGGCAAAGTCCTAAGAAAATGACTTTTCCCTTCCTCCGTGCCTATCGCAGAGGACACAATGTTGTCAAGGAACCATTTCATCCTCAGACAACGCACGAACTTGTTTCTCGATATGTGGAAACTGGGAATGAAGATCTACATCTCGATGGTCTACCGTCAACTCCAATGGATGTGGTCGCTCACCAAGAACTGGCAAGGACATCCACTCATGAAAGATCCACTCTCAACACAGATTGCTAGTCGTTAGGAAATTCTCTTTTCCAAAGTCCGAAATTCGCTTTGTGCTCTGAAACTGCATAAATTTCACTTTCAGCGCGTTCAGCAGCTGTTGCCCACCGACAAGGAGCAGCGCGTAGCATTCGCTTTCAGATTCCTGCCTCTGATCGAAAATCACGATTGTTTGCGACGTATCTTGTGAATGGATGAGGTCCACTTTTATCTATCCGGTGCAGTTAAGACATGTAGGAAATGGTGGCGCCACAATTGCAGCAGCAGGGACGACTAGCCGGAGTCAATTTCCAATAGGATGGCTCATCGCTCCCAACCACCAAGGAAATGAAGTTGCACCTGCAAGGAATGTTTGGTATTGGCATCATTAACCACCACTTCCCCCACTCATGGCCTCCAAGATCACCAAATCTTTTACCCTTGAATTTCTTTGCTATGGGGTGATCTGAAACGTAAAGGCGCATTGGGAATTACCTCGACATTTGCCTGTCCCGAAGGATGCCATAAAAAGTGAAGCTGCTGCCATTCCGGTGACTGCAATCCATGCAGCACTGGCCTAAGTTGTGCACGAAGGTCTTTCTCGAGCGCCTCAATATAAACGGCCGTGCTCACCTTCGTTTGCTTTGGGTCGACAAAGAAGAGGTTGTTTTTCCCATTACAGCCGATTCCTGCAATTACCTCTACTTTTTAGGAGAACCTCGACTTGTAATGTTTAGGCCGATAGGGAGTAAGGTCATAATTCTTCCATACTCCATACACCCTTTCGTAATGGCAGTTCGTGGGGACTTCAAAAGCGAAGTCCTTTTCGTCGGTGAAAATGCTTGCTTCACAAACTCTTCTAGAGCGCCGGTACAGCAGCCTACATCTAATCGTCTCTTGATGGCATCGTTATTCACACTGGGAGTGAAAATTCTTTTCAAGACTTTCTTCCCTTGGCTCTTGAGAATCCGCTGAATGAACCTCTGACTGCCTCAAGTTCCTGGGATTTCCCTCTGGGACTCGTGCGTTTCTGGATGCCCTTCTTGAGAGGCAATGGCTTTCCCCACAGAAGCACAGTGTTCCTCAGTTTGAGCTGATTTTGATCTACCGCTCCTCCCTTCCTCACCGATGAACCTGTATTTTTTTAGCTTTTGGATCAGCCTGTTAAGGATGCATTTCTTCCACTCCTTTCCAGGAAATTATTCCACGATTCTTGATTCACTCCATCCTTTCTCAAGATAGCATAACACTCTTCCGCGAAGAACAACATTTTCACTAACAGAACAAGGAGAACTGATGCGAAATTGGCGTGGACAACGTGCATCTTCCTCCTTCCCGCCGGTCGTTCTCGCGCGCACGCAAAAATTGATTTACTTAAGTAATATAGTTCATTTGGAAAAATGGCTGGAGATAAAATGAACGAAAAGTTTAGGAAGGTTAGAGGATAATTTGATGCACTTGAAAATAGGATGCAGCGTCATCTTGAGGAACAGAAAAAAGCTCGAAGAATCTCAGATATCAGCTGCATCTGACTCTCCTTTGAAAAGTTACGACTAATCGAAATAGGGTGATGATATTATAACAACCTTGTATATACTGAGGGAAAACAGAGGTTGAAACACGTGTATCTCGAAGCAAAGTCGTGGTTTTATTGCTTCCGGCGTATTTCAAAAGCAATGAAAGTTAATTTTGACATTTTTAACTGAAAAGACAAAATTATAAAACATACAAAGAATTGTTCACTGAATTTGCAATCCACTTGATCGACACTTTCGACGCGTCGCTCAAGTCGAGACAAGCACCTGACTAGTGATTCTGAAGGGCTCACGGGTAATCATGCCTTCCCCTCCGTGATCAAATTTCAAATCCATAATTTGCAATAAGAATGCTAATTTTGGTGCAACTCTCTCTGGAGTTACCACCTTGCCGTGGTGAGAGAGCTTGCGTATCCCAATGACCCAAACGGATATACTGGCGGAGGTACCATTTTGTGGTGCCTCTGGTAGGGTCTCCCATGCCAGGCTGACAAATGGATAGGGATCAGACAAAGGGTAACTCAACAACTGTAACATGGTGAGTTCAATTATAAATGATTATACCGCATCGTCCGTCGCGCGGGTTAACAAGGGACGCGTTCGGGTCTTAGGCAGAGGGGCCCGTTCGAAAAATATGTTACAGTCTCCCCATATCGTTGCGCCTCGCTTCAGAGGTAGCCCCACCAGTGCGCCCGCTACGCGCTTGGGGAAACGGTTGGGGGCAGCGCAAAGAGTTTATACTCTAGGAGGACCGACACTGGATAACAGACAACGGCACCGGACAATGGCAATCGGCAATTGGAATGTCTTCTCGATCACAGGGAAGGAGCAGGAGTTGGTGGGCGAGGCCAAGCGCTACCGACTAGATATAATCGGGGTCTCGTCAACCAAGAGGAGAGGCTCTGGAATTGTG